GCCACCCGTCCCCAGAGTGTCCTCGCAGGCTGCCAAGTGTCACACCTGGCAAACGAGGGAAAACAGGATTCAAGGACACAAACTGCAGCAGTAAAGTCAGCTACGCTTAGTCTCTTAAAGAAACCAGAAACACATTTGAGTACCTTGTCAGGCTGCGGCTCGGCTGCTCACCGGCGCTTAGGAGATTTTCTGCATGGCCAAGGCCCCAGCCCCGCGGCAGCGAGTGGCGCCTGCGAGCGCTGCCCGCAGCTCCGCTGTGCGCGCCAAGGCAGCCGCAGCGCCAGCGCGTCCTCCCGGTCACGTTACCCCCGTGCACCCGCACAGAACTGGAACAGGGGGAATCCAACAGGAACGAGGTCCGTGGCTTTGGCACACAACAGGCAGAGCAGGTGCCAAGCAGTCTCTTCTGGACTAACTTCCAACTCGAATATTAGAAGAGGGAACATTTATTTTAACGACACAAGCACTATTTTCCCCACTTGTATTTTACAAGTGCTTTTTAATAGTGTTTTTAATTTAAAATTATTCTTATCTGTTTCACATAATAAACGATACTAGATGAAAGTAAAAATGTAAATGGGATGTTTTGTGACTTCAGACATCCTCCCTCTCTCTGCCTGACAAAGCAACAGGAGGTCAATATATTCTTCTAGGAGAAGATGCACCTTTAAGCATCAAGCGATGCAGGTTTACCCAGGTACTCCTGTCACTGACTATGGCAGCACTTTCGCGGTAAGAAATATTTGTAAACAAAACCAAGTTGTTCCAAGTCATAAATAGAGCCAATAATCAAAGTATGAGGTACCAGAACAGATGATGAACAGTAGGAGAATTAAGAGGAAAAAAAAAAAAAGATTTTTTTTTTTAAATAGAGCTGCATGAGCAAAATAGCTGCATTTGAGCAGCAAAAGCATTCAGAGACACGAGTGGGCACAGGGCTCACTGGCTTCTGGAAGGCTCAATTCTGATGGAGTTTTTCAGGACTTGGTTAAATCCATCATGATGTTTAGTGACAGTCTGATATTTGCTTTAATTTGCTGTAAGACATGGAACTGAATATTGTTTTAAATCTAAACTAGCTGAATAGTATTAGACAAAACACAAGAAATTGTGTCCTTTGAGAGTATGTAATTGCAACTAAAAACAAAGATAACCACTTTGGCAGCTTTTCTTTTGGTGAGAGCACAGCACGAGTCCCAGCTTTCCTTGATGTTAAGGCAGCATTAGAGCCAACAGCTTTTTCACAGGCAGGACCAGCCAAAGCTGCTCACAACTAGTCCACGTCTCCCCGCTGAGCTGCCGAGATTGTGACTCCTTAAAACAAAACTGCAGTTTACCTTGCAAGATCTGCGTCGCTCACACAAGCCCTGAGGTCCCCACAGCGGAGCAGGAGCCCTGACACACTCGTCAGCTCCACAATGGCGATGTGGATCGTCTGCCACTGCTGCCCTTCTTCTAGGTAAGCATCAAAGTCCCTAAAATAACTGCTCAGGCACTGCAGGCCAAAGTTGAATCACTACTTGTGTTTCTGGCACAAGGAACTGACACGGGTTGGCAAAACACGCCAACACCAAACACAAAAACAGCATTCAGGGAACTGAGCTGATTAAATTACCTGTGGCAGAAAGAGACCAAGGAGATGAGCAGTCACCAGGTGTTTCCAGCAAAGACACTCTCACACACCCGGCTTCGCTCTCCCGCAGTATTCGAAATCCAAACTTGCTCTCACCCCCCCTCTTCTCTTCAATAAGGACCTACTGCATCCAACTCAGAAGACTTTACCTCTGTGGACAGGAGTACAAGCCGGGCAACTTAGCTCTGCTCAAGTTGCAGAGGGGCCAGCAGCAGCTCTGAAGCCAAGTGAGCTCTAACCACCCCCAGGTCACCCCACACTACAGGGGCCCCTGGATCTCCATGGCTCAGTCATCTGCTGCCATCTGTTGACAAGTTCCCACCTCAGAAAACAGGCATTTCTCCTGATGCACAGCAGTTACCCCCACATTTTTGCCTGTTCTTTAACGGGGGCACTACAAGCAGCGCGATCCTATGGAAAACCACAAGGGGGTTTCCAACACATCCATGGTTCTGAGGCGCCACCCATCCACCCGGCTTTCCCCTACAATGACTACCTGCTCTGCTCGGAGAGGACCCTCCCCAGCAGCTCGCTCTGCTCCATGAGCACCAAGCTTTAAAAAGACACCAAATGGGGGTTTAACACATCTGAGAATGTCAGTGACCCCCCTTTAAAGTAGTCACAGCCCTGCGTTCAGTCACCGCTCAGTCTCATTTCAGAAGTTACCTGGGTCTTCAGAGAGCAGCCATGGTCCCCCGGTGAAGGCCTTCCTCACCAGCGAGCTGCGAACTGACACAGACTCAGAGATCACCACAGGACTCAGACCAGCGGCTTCTGCTTCCACAGTGGCGCTCCAAGTCTGCGCCTATCGCTCCATTTGTTAGATGAGACACTTGTGTGGAATACCGGCTTACAAACAGGGCCACTACCAACATCCTGAAAGGTGCAAACCTGAACCTCTTTGAACCTAGAAACCCTCCTTTAAGTATTTATTCATAGGAGCTAACTTATCCTAAGACAATATCAAAATCTCAGACTGTTTTCCCAAAAGTAAGCACTGGTACAGCTTTCTGACTGAGAAGCCACCTGCCCCAGCTACCTTTTAAAATCTTAAGAAAAAAAAATCTGAAAACTCATGGTGTAGTCCTACATTAGGAACCGCCCCACACATGCTGTAGTTGTGAAGACTCACAAAGCATTCTCCATATAAAGCCTTATGGAAACTCATGCTGCAAATTACACTGCACATGGCAAAATTTGATGTGGAAAAGGTGCAGCTGCTGCTGTATGCTCACCTCAGAGTCGGTCTTTCCACCGCTCTCATTTCTCTTTAGTAATTTTCTGAAAGTTATCAAGTTGGCTCCAGCAGGACGGTGCTATGAAGTAACTACTCCAGCTCATCAACTGACATACTTCTCTATTAGGGTCATCATAATGCGTTTGTGAAGTATTAAAGCACTTAATACTCTTACTACAGAAAAACTGTACTTGGTACTGGAAAAGAGCAATGTGTTTGATCTCCAAAACTGCCTTAAAACATGATGAATGTAAAACTGACAGGAAACCTGAAGCCATAGTCAATTCATACGAAGGAAGCCTTTCTACAGAGCCACTGGTCTCCTTCCATCAGGTATCTGGAACATGTAGTCCCCAAGATTGATAAAAACCAACACTTTTCTTTTATAAAATGAGCAACAGAAGCTTGAGGTGCTCTTCAGGGTCTTTTTAAGAAGTGCAACAGCTCAGCTTGTGTGTATGATCAGTGCCCAATGCTGCAGAAGTATCTCCATGAAGAATCAAGAACATTTCTGTGACCAGTTTAATTTTGCAGTAAATTAGAAAAATGGAGCTAGGACTTTTTTTACTTCATAACTACTCTTTGTAGTTCGGTTTACAGAGCTCCGTTTCCAGGCCAAATTTTTGCCCGAGAAGATCATAAAGGTCACTTTCCAGTTACTGATATTGAAGCTCACACTGGTCACGCTTTACTGGTTTGGGGGCCATTTGCAGTGCAGACTTTTGTGAACTTTACCAGAAAGCAACAGACGCAAGAGGAAAACCAGCACTCTCAGTACTTTTGCTCCTCTTAGTCTTGTTGCAACTCCCTTTACCATAGCACCCTCAGGGGCACCACCAGAACATGTATTTTAACCATTCCTTTGCAACTCTACTTGTTCATCACACAAAAGATGGACTAGGTTAAGACTGTATCTGCCTGCTTAGGAAAAAAAAAAAAAGTGATTTTCCTCATAAAAAAGTATCTATTCAACCTACTTCCATTTGGCAAGTTACAAATTATGCAGTTTAAAGACGTTGCGCCTCACGCATTATTTCCATCCCAAGGCTCTCTGAAGTTTTGTGACAGTAGTAGCACCTTCCAAGGCACTTCTAGTCAAGCCGTTATGAACATGACATCAGGAAAATTGTTTCCAAGTGTTCATATCGAGGAAAATTATAAATTCATAACAGCTTTAAAGCCCGTTACAAAAACTTTGCTGAACTTTCCTATGAACTTTCCTAATAGACTCCAAAGCAAACAACATAAGGCACGGGATTTCCAGCTGCTGCTGAAGGGCGATACAATCAGCACAAAGCTTCCTTCCCCTTCTCTACTGTCTCCAAGCAGCTCTTTGTCCACTCACTTGCTCTGTGCGTTCCCCTGAAAGAAGCTGTTGATTTTCCTGTCAAGAGTTCTATGCCCTCATGTGTATCTAACATGTATCATGTTAGATACCTAAAGTAGTTAGATACCTAAATGACAGCACAATACTAGACATTCACTGCTTGCTGGTTCAGAACTCCTTACTCACTTGCTTCAAATGGGATTTTAAAAGATTCCAAACCAAACAGTTAAGTTGGAGCACCGACTCTGTACAAGATTATTTCCAAGAAACATCAAACAAGAAATTTGAGAGAAAAAAATTATTTACACCTCTGTCCAGTTATACCCTGTACGTTTTGAAAGAAGTGTGTGTGATCCAAAAAAAACCCAAACATCTTAACTACTCCACAATCCTAGAGCTTTTTAAATAATCTTGACTACAACCAAAAATAGCTTCTGGCAGGGCACCTTCTATTATTTAGCCTACAGGTGAAGCACTGGAGTTGCATGTATGTAGAGAGACAATTACCTGAGAGGTGACCCAACCTCAGGACGAGGAACACACAGCTCAGAATTCCCCTAGCCGCAGTTATTTTATAAAATTGTCTGTAATTCATTCAGAAGAAAGCCAGGTCGATATTAAAAGTATATTAGTATTATTAACAAATAAAAGTTGCAATCATGGATGGTGTAGAACCCAAAGGTCTGCGCCAAGTCCTTATGTGAAGCAAAGTCAGAATTTTAGCACCTTAAATAGCTGTCTGTTACAAGCATTCTTGCACGTACAGCTAGGAATCATTAAAATACTGCTTGGAAACACCAGAGTCCATTTGAACCATTTATTAGTATCCTCTTTTACAAGTTTTAGAAAAAGAATCCCAGGATTTTGCCTCCTGTGTGTTTTCGCCTAGCCTCCTCGTGGTCCATGATGCCAGCTGAGGTTGTCAGTACTATGTACCTATTAAGAAAGAAAAAGTGCTCAGTAATTTAAGTTTTGTCCTATACTCATGCAGACCCGACAGCATTATAACTTCATTTCTGTACTACGGCAGTTAATATTTATCAAAATTTGCATAATATAACTAAGATTGGGTTAGCAAACATCAGACAAAAAGCAACACTTCTCACAAAGCACAAAAGATATTCATAGGCTTCAGGTTTACAAATATTTGTACATATTTCTCACATACACTCCTTCTGTCAAGTCACTTCAACCACTCCAGCGCTACCAACTCTATAGTTTCCACACTAAGTTGGCTGCTGTTTTAAGCAGACGTTTTTCTTTGGAGCAGGTATGGTTGCCATGGTGCCAGACAGCTTCGCAAGTCTGACTGCTTTATCACGGCTTTTAGCACTGCTCCGTGTTTTGAACATAGCTCACTGCAATGCAGATGGATATCTGCACTGACAACTACAGCTTCCTTAGTAATTTCTAATGCCAACATCTGGATTATCAGTATATTTCATCCACAGTTTGATGATTAAGAACCTTCTGTGTCAGCACTCTACAAATACCCTTAAAAAAATACTCAATATGGCACTACACAGTAGTACGCTACAGATACAGCAAAGCTAACTCTAGAGTTTTAACAACAGAAATGACAAGAACTACTAATCTTGTCTTTGACCGGACTACACAAGTCAAGACTCTTCTAACTCTGTGCTTCACATCACTGTGATTCATTACTCTTGACTTGGTGATATTTGGGAATGATCACCATACTGAACAATAATAGGATTTTGGACGTTTAACAGTATCTCTAAGTCTTGTATCACTTCATACCCAATTCATGCACTCCCAATGAGCATGACTACAGTAGCAAGACTTACTGCCATTGATATGATACCCTACATTACTCACTCCCCACTTGTAGATGACGACCAGTAAAATTAAAGCAAGCAAAATCCAGTAACTGTTTTCACCATTCTTCCTATTGTTTCAGTGCAAATCAAAAGTAAGTCCTTAGTAAACAGAGCCACTTTAAAACTAGTTAAAAAACTCATTTATATGGCAAGTTAACCTTTAGGCTGATTTCTACTTTCAGTCTCATTATCAAAAAAAAGTATGAAATGAATCTAGCTTAGTCAGTATGGAAGCATAACAAAAAACTCCTTCCATACATTCCCTTCTCCAACTTATTTCACACAGGACAAGTAATTAACCTCTCCATACTTACCCAAATTGACGTGAAGGCAGCAGGTTGTTCTGCCACTTTTCCAAATCCTTCAGCTGAACATCAAATCTGGGACTGATTACACCACACTATAAAACAGAACTCCATTACAAACTGAAAAACTTCATAAACTGCATTTATACATTTCTCATTCTAACTCACTGCATGAAAGAATTAACAACTGCATTTTAAATCTTTTTTTCTTAATTGTCATCAAAATTCAAGTTCCAAGGAGCATTCCCCATTACTCATAACATGCAACAAGTCTTTTTCCTCAGAGATGTTAAGACTCTCACACAGCTAAACAGCTTTTATTTCCTTAGCCTTGCCCCTCCCCACTCCTGGCCTACGTGGAGTTACTTATATTGCTAGTGAGGCTACAGTAACAATTTACTGGCTAGACCTGGAAGAGTACAAAAGCATACCCTGCCATTAAAGATCAACACCCTACATCTTCAAAAAATATATATCCCTGAATTACCCAGGGATACATTTCTTGGAAAAATTATCACATGTCATTAGCCAAAAATGCACAGATATTTTAAACAAGGAGAAAATAAACATGCAAAAAAAATCTTTTTCAGGTTAAGTGTAGTAATTATTCACCATGACCACTACTACCATTTTCAATTAGTTCAATAAATACCTAGAACAAAACTAAAAGTACATCTTCTGCACTGACAGACATTTTGTAGAACCAACTTTTCTTTTATTTCTACTTCTGGAAGCATAATGTTCAGCTGTACCACTCAAGATCATCTACAGAGTCACCAAGAGACAGTTTAAGGAACACTGTACTCAAAACTGACATACATCACGAAACCGAACACCACCCAGGTCATCAGTGTTATAATTCTCTTCCTGCTACGCTCAAGTAATTTTTAGCTGCAAGATTTTTTCATCATCATGATATTACCCAGTATATTTTGAACTATTTTTTGATTTATTGAAAGAGCACCTCTCACTTGAAAAGTTTAATTGGAAACAATGTGACATTGCAAAGACATCACTAAACTAGACAACCCAACATTTTAAGCCAAATATACCCAAAAAACACACCAACTGTCAAGATGTACATAAAGAGATCATATGCCCCAGCAGCTTAAGAAGCACCAATGGAATTGGAGAATGCACCATTTAACCTCCCCTTAGCTGCAAGCAAAGCCCATCCAGCAGCAGCAGTAAAGCTTGTGGTCTCTCCATTTGCAGGTATTAAGAATCAACTACAAAACTCAACTGCTCTCCATCAACACCAACATCTTTTAAATTGCTTAAAAGTAAAAGAAAACGAAATCATCAGTTAACTAAAATGAAAAATACAATGCACTTTCAAGCTTGTATTCTGTGTCTAGCAGAACTGCAGCTAGGCAAACACATCATTTTGAAATAACACGCTAAGCTACGGAGAGCAACCATACTATTCTACATGTACATGAATGTGGAAAATACCATTTTCTTTACAAGTAACATTTCCAGATCTGGATAAAACAGTCCTAGATTTAATCAGTTGCCTAGAGAACCGAGTTCAGAAGGACAAACCCTACCTTGTTGAGTCTGCCTGTGAGATTGACAACAATCTTCCCAGCTCTGTGATCATCAATTATCTCAAACTCACCAATGTAACCTGAAAGACATTAGAAAGAAGATAAAACCAGACGTTTAACATGTAGCTACATATGATTCATTTTAATTAGGTTACACAAAACTTGTTCAAACAACTTCCTTTAGGTAAGTCTAAAAAACACTTAAAAAAAACAGAATTCAGATAGTTTCCGAAGTGTTTATTTTCAGCAGTTTAACCCATTTCAGTGAATCTGTTGCAAATCAAATGCCCTAAAGGACTATTATATTCAGCTTTTCAGAACTTGTCTCATACCTGCAGAACCCTTGCAATAGTTCTATATCTTAGAAGTTCTTTTTAGAGATAATACAGCAATCAAATAACCTTTCCCCTCCAACGAGCGAACCCATTTAAAGACATATATACATAGCTCGCAGAATCATTCTACAATGGCTATTACAACCCCAAAATTGTTAAAATCTAAACATAACTATGTTGTCACCCTAGCAACACACTTGAGCTTTTCCAAAAGATCTCCTTCATTAAAGCAAACCAGGTACTAGAGCAAACCAGCCCAAAACCACAAACGAGCGCTCACCGTCACCCAGGAATTATCTGTTTCATTTAAACCATTTACAGTTTTGAAGGAACCATCTAAAATTAACATACTGCATTCTCCTGGTGATCCTTCACAGCAAAAAAGGGCAGCTTTGCGAAGGTCGAACTTACCATGCTTCATCATCACAGTTAAAAACCGGACAATTACTTTGGAGCACGGCCTGATGAGAACTTGGCGTTTTCCACGTTTCTCTGCATTGTTGATGCTTTTAAGAGCATCGGCCAAAACGTTCATGCGCACCATGATGCCTGGTGGAGGGGGGAAGAAGCAGCAGTTACGTATACCAGCTTGACATTACAAATATGCTGTGAAATGAACTCTTTTTAAAGCCCTAAAAGTTCTAGCGCTCTCACAGAAAGTTACACTACAGATGAAAAAGCACTTTTAGCCTAGCAAATAATAAGTCAACTCATGTAGCCAGCTATGTCCAAAGGGATTCATAACCACTGTAACAGCTTGGGACACCTGACATACTGCTACTGTAATATGACTCTATCAATAGACATATACACACAGGTTTAAAATACACTACCTAGAAGACACTTCACCAACGTGGCAGCTTTCGTAGGTGAATCATCTAAGGCTTCAAAACTCCCGGAGCATTAGCTCTGTTGGAGAACCAGCACACCTGTGACACTAGGGACACCTGACCTAGGGACACCTGACAGGCTGCTCTCAGAGGGGAACCGGGCACCGACTTCTGCACCCTGGTGAGGAACGCGGAGCTCTCCCGGGCCCACGAGGCGCTGCGGGACATGATGCTGCGGTGCCACCTCCTAGCAGAGCGCGCGGGCGGCGCTGGGCAGCAAAGTGGCCCCGCCGCTGGGCCGGCGTCGAGCCCAGCCATTGCCGAGGA